TCAGAACATGCCTGTGACTTGTATGAAACTGAGTTTTTCTTTGGTCAATGTGAGCAATGAAGAGAGAGATACTATTTATTAATGCAGTCTTTCAAAATTTATGCAGTATCTATTCTCTGTCAGGACTGTAGGGAATACGAAAAGCCTGTCCTCAGGAAAGCTGCAGACTAATGAATTCAGCATCTACTTGTCTTATTGCCTCATATTCAGACTAAGATTCTGGAGTCATTCTTTCTACAGCTTTCAGCAGGATAAGCATAATTGTAAAACAATAAAATAGGCAACTAGCAAAGATGACATTCTTAAAGTAAAGGCTCTCAACTGAGCCAACTGTCAAATTATGTAAATTTGATAGCATATGAATGTTTGTAAAGGTCCTTTAATTGGGTGACTTTTGTAGGAAATAAATGATCTGTCATGTAAAAGTCTTCTTCCATAGCCAGATTTAAAAACAGAAATAGTAGTTTAAAAGTCTCAAGATAAAACAAAAATAAATAAAGTGTGGCATATTTTTGCTTAGATAAAGTATATATATATACTTTAATCCTCACCCAAGGATATGCTTTTCATTGATTGTACAGAGACAGGAAGAGAGAGGGAGAGGGAGAGAGGGAGAGAGGGAGAGGGAGAGGGAGAGAGAGAGAGAGAGAGAGAAAGAGAGAAACATTAATTGGTTGCCTGATACATGTGCCCTGACTGGAAATTGGACCTGTAACCCTTTGGTGAAGGGGACAACACTCCAACCACTGAGCAACACTGGCCAGGGCTAAAGTATATTTTTAATATACCACACATATAGTCTTCTTTACTATAAAAATTTTATTTTATCTACTAATAGCAGCATTTGATAATATTTTGAACAACAATGTGTAATATTAACTCATGAAGATACATAAAGCATTGATAGCCTTTATAACTAGCTGTCAAGTTTATACATATTTTCTTCCTTCCTTACTCTCTTTTATATTCTCCAGGTTTCCTAAAATCACTGCTTATTTGTAATTGAGACATTATTAAGCTAATATATTTGCTACTATTTCTATTTTATTATTAAACTATATAAAGGCATTACATAGGGTAATTTTTCAGCTATTTTTACCTTCCCTCTTACAAGATTCTACTTTCCTGCCTATTGTTACAAGACTTGTTTCATTGACTTTTGGTTTGTAACAGTGACATGTGTTGGTGTGTTTTGGCATTTGGATGGTAGATAAATGCAACTGTGTGATTCAATTAGTGGTCTCTAGTTCCTATTTTCTGTATGAAATAAAGGTGTACCCAGGAATGTGCTTCTCTTTCTGTCTGGACCCTGGAATATGGAGGGAAGAGCAGAAACTGTTTACTGCCTGGCCATTGTGGCTCAGTGGTTGAACATCAATGAAAAACCAAAAGGTCACGGTTTGATTCCTGATCAGGGCACATGCCGGGGATTGCAGGCTGGATCCCCAGTAGGGGGCGAGCAGGAGGCAGCCAATCAATGATGTTTCTCTCTCACTGATGTTCCTATCTCTCTATCCTTCTCCCTTCCTCTCTCTCTAAAAATTAATAAAAACATATTTTAAAAAAAAATACCTGAAGCCTAGCAGCAAACAACTGTGATGACACAGAGCCATCACCTAACATGATTAAGAAATACATTTGGCCCTAGCCGGCTTAGCTCAGTGGATGGAGAACCAGCCTGTGGACTGAAGGGTCCCAGGTTCGATTCCGGCAAAGGGCACATGCCTGGGTTGCGAACTCAATCCCCAGTAAGGGGTGTGCAGGAGGCAGCCAATCAATGATTCTCTCTCATCATTGATGTTTCTATCTCTCTTTCTTTCTCCCTTTCTCTCTGAAATCAATAAAGAAATATATTTTTTAAAATAAGAAATACATTTGACAACATAAAAATGAAGAAAAATGTGTGGTTTGTGTAATAAAACCACATCATAAGTGAAGGCCAAAGGTAAACAACACACCAGAAGAAGACATTTGAGAATATATATGGTCCTAATATATAAAGGATTCTGAAACATGAGGGAATATAACCAAATCCTTTTTGAAAAATGGGCAAAAGACATGAACAGAGTTCACAGAAAAATAAGCAAGTGTTCTTTAAACATATGAAATGATGTTCTGATATGTTCGGAATGAAGGGAATGATAATAAAATCTTTCTCAATCATCAAATTGACCAAAAAAAAAAAAAAAAAAACCAAACAAAAAAACCCCAAAACAAAAAAACAAACATAAAATAAAATGCTTGACTATATACTTCGGCAAAATTACAGGAAAACAGAAACTTTATCCATTGTTGGGAGAATGCAAAACGGTGTGACTCCTGGAGGGGAGAATTTGGAAATATCTAACAGAACTACATATATATATATACCATTTGACTCTCTAACCCCACTTCTAGGAGATTACCCTTAAGATATACCTCACACAACGTGGAAACAAATATTCCGAAGATATTCGTTGCAGCATCATATACCAGTGAAATATGAGAACCAGCCTGCGTCACCATACAGAGGGGATCAGATGAAAAGACAGTGCCTTCTCATGGCAGAGAATTGTGCAGCTGCAGAAACAGGATGAGGAAACCTCCAAGAGTCAACATGGTGTAATGTCCTGGGTACATGAAGAGGAAAAAATAGAATAAATTACGTTACATTTCCTGAAAGAGAGAAGGGATTATTATTATTATTATTATTATTATTATTATTTTGAAAGGAGGAATGCAAGGATAAAATAAAAATCAATGAAAATAGTGATCTACAATGTGTGGGGCTTTTTTGGGTGTATCTCATTTAATATAGATTCAACTTTTCAACTATGTTATCATTTTACATGTTAAAAATTGTAAAATTTACAAGGATTAGGGAAAGGCCTTAAACATGAATATAAACAGAAACTGATGAACCTACCTACAGCTTCATCTCTGGTTCCAGGCTTTCTTCTTTCCAGTGTCTGGGGACCCTGGTGTTTTAGTCAATCTGCAGAGCAGAGCCCTCTGACCACTTACATTCAGCCTGTAGATTGAACGAGAAGGAAGCCAGTAGTTAGTTCAGCAACTTCGTGATTTTGTTTTGTTCCTGCAGCATAACTTAGCCTAAACTGAGGAGTGAAACAAAATCTGAAGAGAATGTGATGTCATGGCATTTTAAAGACAGATTACTATCAGCCTCCAAACCTTTATTTCATCGGCTACTAGGGCATGAGACACAATCAATTTCGGTATTGATCTAAAATTATTACCATCAACTTACATATATTTCTAGACATTGTGATTTGGAGAGGTGAATTGTGGATGAGTGAAGACATAATAAGGCACCAACCAGAGTGAGAATCGTGACAGAGTCTCTGAGATGATGACAGGGACTCTGTGATTGTCGCCATTCATTCCAGAAACCAGGGTAAGGAAGGAATGTTTCTATTTGTTCACTGCCACACATAATAGAAAATGTCTCCCTTTGGGAACCAAAAGCTTTTGGGGAAATGACTAGAGAAGTAGAACAAATAGGTACAAAGAATGGGAAAGGATGTTGAGAGATTACCTAAAAGTAATGGTTAAAGGAAAGAAGTAAATATGAAGAGCTGGATACCAATGGGGATAAAAATAATAGGTGCTATAAGTTATTTCTGGCAATTTTTTTTTATATATTTTGGATACTTGATAATAAACTGCATGTACTAAATCCAAGTTATATTCTATTTCAGAATTATATCTCTGATGTTATAATCATTAAATAGTTATTTTAACCTACAAACAAATCATTAGGCACTAGGAGTTCTTATAAAATGAGTCCAACGGCTCAGCGCTAGTGAAAACACACTTAGTTGATGTTAAATATTGCACAGCTCATTACAAATGGCTGATGCTCTGTAACCAGTTCTTTTATAGTTTATGGTGCACATTTTAAAGTCAAGTAAGTGGTGTTTTCAGCAGTACTACATGTGTTATGAGTTGTTGAGGTTGTAAATAATTTGTAGGGCATTTATGTATTTCTAGAATTCATGTACCTCTGCTTATAAATCTATTTATTAACCCTCATAAATAATTGATGACCATATCATAAAATGAATCATTTCTAAAATTGCTTAACTGTCTGGAATTTTTCTTTGGTAATCCCATTTCTCATTTTCTTTTCATATCTCAATCAGGTATAAATAGAAGAACCTTACATGCACCTTTTCTCTTCTAATTCCCAAGTCTAAGTGTCTGTGTCATTATTCAGCTTTATGGTGAGAAGCTATGAATTCATGTCATTAATTCTCCTGTGTCACCTTCAATGAGTAATTGATTTTCTTCCCAACCCCTAGTCCATGGCAGCTTTACAAGTAATTTCTCTCTTTTCCTGCTTTTCTTCTGTTTCATCTTCTTCCTTTTCTTCTCTCTTCTTCTTCTTCCATCCCTTCTCCTTCTCCTCCTTCTTTTTAATGCACTACTTAGATACCCTACCAATTTTTTTCTACCCCTTAATATCAGGGATCTGAACATCTAATTTTGTCATATTACCAGATACTTTTCATCACAGTAACTCTTAATATTCCATGTCAAATAACATGGAAGTCTTTGAATATAGAGAAGTGAAATGTAGTAAAGAAACAAAGAATGGTAAAAGGGAAAAAAAATTAAAATGCATGAGAATTGCTTGAAAAAATTGTGAAAGCAATATTTGTTTTAGCCATTTCCTTCTGCCCTATTTTGCACCATTTTTCTTATTGAAATCCAAAATCCTCTCACCTTTAAGCTATCTACCAGGAAATCCATTAGTAAACTAATACATTTTCTTTTAATTCACTCTGCATTTATTCAACACTATTTCTTAATTTTTATCATTAGTTATTTATTCATATTTTCATATAGTCCTTGGTTAGTTTCCAAGCTACTGTGTCAAGCAGTAAGGATGGACCGGCTTCCGGCAAATTCCCCCTTTTTTATTTTTAAATGATAGCTCATGTAAATCAGCGGCCACCTCTCGGATTGGGTTGTTTAAGACTTGGAAGAAGACTGACAAGATCTAAATAAAAGATAACTCAAGATGAATTCTCAAAAGAAAAAGAGCTATGTACATAAGAGACTATATCTTCCTTCATCGTCTACTTGGGACCAGTAGTTGTGTTGGTCATAGAATCAGGAAAGAGGTTGTGATAAGTTGGAAGAGGTACATATGCTGCTGTTATCATTTTACCAGCAAACCACCTGCCATGCAATGCATTTACAGCAGCGACGGCTGCAGCAATTGATGGGCACTTCACATACACATTGCCCTGAGCTGAATTTTTGTCAACATAAATATGAATAACTCCTCCATGTTTATTACATTCTTCAATCACATCATTCTTAATCTCTGTATCCCATCCAACTTCTTCTGTTTGAGGGTTAAACATGTTAGAGAGTTGAAAACACTGTGTTGCAAGAGGTTGGACAGAGGCAGCTGCAGCTAAAGCTGAAGCTTCAGTCTGTTGGGAAAGTCTTGTTTGCAAATCTGTAACAAAAGAGAATTCTGACACAGCACCAAATGCCAAGGAGCCACTCATTTGTAGAGCTTGCTGTGCTGCTGGTGGGATCTGCAAACCTGTACCCTCTGCAAGTCTTGCCATTAATTGAAGACGACCAGTTGTTCCCAAATCAATTCCAGTCCTTTCCAGTTCATCACTGTCCAAAAAGGAGCTAGCACTGGAAGCATCAGTTCGTTCAGTAACATGACCAACTTTCATTGGCCTTCCTACTAGTTGAAATCCATTAAGTTGTTCCAAAGCCTTCTTGGCACATTCTGAATCGGAAAACGTAATAAATCCATATCCCTTGGATTGGCCTGTTTCACTATCCATCATGAGCTGGATACTTTCAATCCTTCCAAAAGGCTCAAAGATCCCCCGCAGCATATCTTCAGTTATGCTTAAGTGTAATGAGCCCACATAAAGCCTCATAGGTCCAGCACTCTCCTTTTGTAGATTGTTTGCCATTGCGGCAGCTCTGTTTTTTTCTGCCTGTGATGCCTGTACTATGATTGGCACTCCTAAAACACGTTGGCCAGTTAATCCTATTGCTAGAGGCACTGAGCTAACATCAACAAACTCCACATAAGCAATTCCCTTGGACCGTCTTGACTTTCTATCAGAAATCATCCTCACATCTCGAACCTTTCCTACTGTAGAAAAAAACTCTTCCAGATCCCTTGGCCGAATTCTTGCTGCCAGCTGCATGCAGAAAACCGTCCTTGCATCTCTTTCCTCAGGAGTTAGATTATCAATAGGTTCCCTCACGGGGCTCTTGTCTTTTCTGAATGGACTTTTGCTTCGGGAACGTCGTCTGCTTAATTTGACGCTATGAGGCAACCCAATCTTTCCTCGGATGGCACTGTTAAATTTTGGTCCGGAGTAAGGACTTCTGTAGTGGCCTCTGAATCTGCGATCTCGGCTTCTTGAGCGGCTCCGTCTCCTTTCTTTGCTTCTACTTCGCTTCCTTTCACAGCTTTTGCTCGTTTTCCTTTCTCTATCTCTGCTTCGCTTCCATTCCTTACTTTTGCTTCTTTTTCGTTCATGACTACGACTTCTGCTCTTGCTTTTTTTCCTCTTTTTGCTACGTTCTTCATGGCCATTAGCACTGCTCAACTTGTTCTCATCCTTCTTGTAAGGAGCCTCAAGCATTGCTTCAATATCAATATCATCTGCCATTTTTCTCTAAAGGCCTGCTCGGGGTTCTGGGCCCCTGTGGTGCTCCTGCTCAGAGAGGAGGGCTGCTGCAGCCGCCGTTGTCGCCGCTTGTTGCGACAGTTAAGTCTCTAGGCCGAGGTACGTCCAGCTCGGATTTCAGGCTCCAAGGGCGGATAGGCCCGAGCTAATATAAAAGAAATGATGGGATTAGGGAAGCTGCGCAGGAGTGCAGGATGGAAACTTCGGCAGTTCAGGATCCAACCCTGGGACAGTGTCCGCAGACTCCCTGAAATGGCGGCTGCTGCTTCCCCGTACTCACATTCACTAACACGAATGGGGTCCAGCCCCAGCAGGTCCAGGGGTCCCCAAAGGTGTGGACGGAGTCGGCAAAGAAGGAATGACACAGAGACAGCGTTCAGTTGATCAGCAGCCTAGCCAGGATCTCCAGCCAAGTTCTGGTGTTTATTGTCTTGTTACATCTGTATTTATACCAGTTGATTTTAATCCTGTCAATTTCTATTCCAAAGGTTAGGGTGTTTCTTATCTCCATTCCAGGGAGTAAAGATTATGTAGCTTAAGGGTGATTGTTTGTAGTTAAAATGATTAACTACCCGCCTGGCATTTAGTTACGGGGTTTTGTTCCCTCCCTAACTTCAGGGAAAAATCCCTACCTGGGGAAACAACCTTTCTGGGAGAGGTGACCAGGTCAAAACACATAGTGCCAAGAAGGTGAGCAAACATATTAAGAACAGTATGCCATATACGCCAGGTCCCTTGAAACATATGCTGTGCAGATGTTTCTTCCCTGCAGCGACTGTGTCAAGCAGCAAGGATGGACTGGCTTCCGGCAACTGAGTTGACAGAAACACATTATCTGGGACCACTGGGTTGACAGGAATACATTATGTAGAGCCTTTGGGCCTTGAGACCACTGAGTTGCCAAGGATTCATGATATAGAGCCATTGAGGCAATTTAGAGTAATTGTGCTGTCCTGGTCTTGGGACCACTGAGTCAACTGGAACTCACTATCTGTGGCCACTGTGCTGGGCTGCATATCTCGTGCTTTGGCCAGACAGGTCATTCTGTGCTGTCTGTTCCTAAAACACATAGATAGGAAGGTACTGACATCAGGCCAGGCCTTGAGATATGGTCTCATGGCCCCTTCCCAGCACGCAGGCCTCCTTTCTCTGAAGGCCCGGAAGTCTCATTCCAAATTTGGGAGACAAAGGACTGGAAAAAGTATAAATAAAGAGAGTTTCCTCCATATTGGGGGGCCCAGAATTTGAAAGACACATTTTTCTCTGGGCCTCCACAGAATTTAATAATAAAATGTAACTCCTGTAGTAGTCTGGGCTGCAGTTCAGCCTTTGCTTCGGCAGGGTGCTGTAACTGTAGTCAGCTGGCCAGCTTAATAAAGGCTCTTAAATTTAAATTCTGAGTTGGTGGTCTATCTCGCTGAGTGAACCCATAACAGCCACTAAAACAATTTAGGATAATTGTGCTGTCCTGTTTCCCAGGTACAGAAGAATGTGCTTCCTAAGACCAGTATGACCACTACAAATGGGATTTCACATTACAATCAATAGGGTATTTAATCGAATGGGATGATTTATATAACTCAGAAAACCAAAATAACTTTTCTATTGTTAAACAAAGCAAATAAGTACAGAAGCCAAACAGCAGGGTTAGAGTTAAACTATAGTTTTTACCTGAAATGATTGCTACCATACTTCAATATGATAACACTTGTTTGTAATTTGAGGATTTGACCCAAATGACACTCATTTCCTCAGATTGTATGAATCCAATTAGTTGTATAAATTTATTATTTGTCCTGATGATATTTGTACAAGGATTTCATTATAGTACTGCAAAAGAGATTCATTTTTTTAAAATGTGAATTTTTTTGAAATTATGATATTTTGCTTTCTCTATAAATTATGGATATCTTGTTTTTATATAAGACTTACTGATAAAGATACTAGTGAACATTTCTGACATAAAAATTTACTCTGAGACAAATTTTTTAAAGCATGCTAATTTAGTAATTCTACTTCAAGCATGTATTTTGTTTGCCACCCACTTCCCATTGATATTTTTTATCTTTATTGTTGAAAGTATTTCAGATATCCCCTTCTCCCCCCCCCCCCACTGACCACCTCCACCCTACTCTGTGCCCTCAGGCCTCACCACACTATAGTCTGTGTCCATGGGAAATTCAAATATGCATATATGTTCTTCGGTTAATCTCTTCCCACCCCATTCCCACTTCCCTCTCAGATTCATCAGTCTGTTCCTTGCTTCCATGTCTCTGGACCTATTTTGTTTGTCAGTTTATTTTGTTTATCAGGTGCCACATATACATGAGATTGTGTTGTAACAGAAGACCAAAGAAATACCTCTGGGAATAATTTCCAAATCAGAGTGAAGAAACATGCCGAGAGCCTGTCTATATATGTCCTGCTGGGGTCTTTGTCTTGCAGATATGCCCCCTGCCCCCTTCGTGGCCCTGCTGGAAGGCCCCCAGGTGTCAGGCCACATCCGATGGTCCATCCTGGCACCCGCATAACAACTCTCCCCTCCCAGGGTTGTGCATTGTTCACAGTTCCATGGCCTCTGCATTTAGATAACAAGTTCTGCAAGACCAGTTTCCTCCTCACTCCCATAGAGTGGGCTCCATTTTCATTTTGTTGACGATTTCTTTTGCTGTGCAAAATCTTTTTATTTTGATGTAGTCCCACTTGTTTATTTTCTCTTTTGTATTCTTTGCCCTAAGAGATGTATCAGCACACATATTGCTACAAGAAATGTCTGAGATTTTGCTGCCTATGGTTTCTTCTGGGATTTTTACAGGATGAAATCAAGAACTGGTTCTTTGAAAAGATAAACAAGATACAAACTCACTAAGATACAAAGAGAGAGGACCCAGATAAATAAAATCAGAAATGAAAGAGGTTATACATCAAGTAACACCACAGAAATACAAAGGATTGTAACAAAATATTACATCAACTATATGCCTACAAATTGGACAACCTGGGTGAAATGGACAAATTCATAGAAAAAATACAACCTTCCAAAACTCAATCAGGAAGAATCAGAAAACCTGAGTAGGCCAATAACTACTGGTGAAATTGAAGCAATAATAATAATTTAAAAAAAAAACCTCCCAGCAAAAAAATGCCTTGGTCCAAACCAATTCACATTTGAGCTTTATCAAATATTCAAAGAAGAATTAACACCTATCCTCTTCAAACTATTCCAAAAAATTCAAGAGGAAGAAGCACTTCCAAACTCTTTCTATGAGGCCAGCATTGCCCTAACTCCAAAACCAGATAAAGACATGACAAAGAAAGAGAATTACAGGCCAATATCCCTAATGAACATAGATGCTAAAATCTTCAACAAAATATTAGCAAACAGATCCAGCAATACATTAAAAATATCACACACCAGGACTAAGTGGGATTTATCCCAGGGTTGCAAGGCTGATGCAAACTCATAAGATCTTATCAATAGATTCCGAATAAGCATTCAACAAAAGCCAGCACCCATTTTTTGATAAAAACTCTCAGCAAAATGGGAATAGAAAGAACATACTTCAACATAAAAAAGGCCACATATGACAAACCTAAAGCCAACATCATATTCAATGGGCAAAAACTGAAAGTGTTTCCCTTAACAATAGGAACAAGACAGGATTGTCCCCTTTCAACACTCTTATTCAACATAGTACTGGAAGTGCTAGCCACAGCTCTCAGACAAGAAGAAAAGATGAAAGGCATCCAAATTGAAAAGAAGGAAGTGAAACTATCATTATTTGCAGATGACATAGTATTGTACATAGAAAACCCTAAATATTTCACCAGAAACTACTAGACTTAATCAATGAATTCAGCAAAGTAGCACGATATAAAATTAACACCCAGAAATTGATGGCATTTTTATATACCAATAATGAACTCTCAAAAAGAGAAACTAAAAAAGCAATACCATTGACCATTTCAACAACAGCAACAACAATAAACAAGATACCTAGGAATAAACTTAATCAAGGAGGTAAAAGACTTGTACTCAGAAAACTACAGGACATTGAAAAAAGAAATAAGGAAGCTACAAACAAATGGAAGAATATACAGTGTTCATGGATCAGTAGAATTAGCATCATTAAAATGTCCATTCTACTCAAAGTAATCTATAGATGCCACACAAAACCTATTAAAATATCAATGGCATATTTCACAGATCTAGAACAAATACTGCAAAAATTTATACAGAACCAAAATAAGACCCCGAATAGCCACAGCAATCTTGAGAAAGAAGAACAAAGTAGGAGAGAGTATAATATAGATATCAAATTATATTACAAAGCCATTGTAATCAAAACAGCCTGGTACTGTCACAAGAACAGGCATATAGATCAATAGAACAGAGACCCCAGAAATAGACCCAAGCCATTATGCTCAATTAATATTTGACAAATGAAACAAGAGCATACAATGGAGTAAAGACAGTCTCTTCAATAAATGATGTTGGGAAAATTGGACAGTACATACAAAAAAATCAAACTAGACCACCAACTTACACCATCGACAAGAATAAATTCAAAATGGATAAAAGATTTCGATGTAAATCATGAAACCCACTGATCTTACTAACAAAAGCCAAAACATTTATTGAGAATTTGCTATGTCTAAGGCAATGCGATATTTACACGAATTCTTGTTTTAATAAAGTACATTCTCTTATAATTACCATTTTGTAAAATGAGAATATAGAACATAATAAATGGTTTGTCTGTAAACAGAAACTAGTAAAATGAGAAGCTGGAATAATACACACAGCTTGATTAGAGATTTTATTTATTTTTAACTTTTATTTTATTATTCCTTTTTACTTTGCTGACATTTGAAATTTTATTATATTCTTTACTTCACATCGAATTTGTTATTACTTTTCTTAGTAAGAAAGTATTAGAAAACAGATGTTCCCAAATATGTCTTAAGTAAGAAAATATCTTTATTGTATGTGAAGACACATCCATTTTTAATTCATATC